GGACAAAGAAAGAAGAACCTAATGGGCCACATTTGAAACCAATGGGCTCCCACCCAAGACGAGCGCTAGCAATTGACAAGTTGTGCCCCCCAACGGTTTTAAAGTCCAGTGTTTTCATCAGGAGTTGAGCTGGGGAGAGGGTAAGTAATTGAGGATTTGAGGAAGCCATAGGGTTGCCAAACACACCCTAAGGCGCCACCCCCCCCACTAAAGTTGACCTAAAGGGAAACCTTATAAGATGGTGCCAAGGTAAGGAACTAAAAATAGTTGTAGCATTGATAGAATCGGTGTTGCAGCTGATTCTTGAAAAAATAGTAATGTAGGTTATTTCAGGGTTCTGAGGTTCTATTTTCGACATGGCATGTGTCATGGCCATGACCTGGAAAGGAAGGGAGAGATGTTGAGCAGTTGACCTTTTGGTCTAGATGTAAATTGATATTATTAATACATTCCATTGTGGCAAACCACATGATGATTGCCATGGTGGAAACATTGCCTTGGGAAACTGCACCCAGGATGTATAATAGCATAAAATTGAAATTAGTCATGTAGGCATGGTTTCGTAGTGGAATATTTGAAGGTGTTAAGTGGGCTTTTGAGCATCATTCAGTGTTGTAAATAAACATTAATTTCCATTCTCTAATTAGTCTCTCAACACAAAACTTCACTCTGTTATCATCCCTGCCCTCCAATGTGCTATCAACCGTAAAGTTCTCCTCTGTATATAGAGAAGCAAAGTTGAGGCAGCCATCCATGTGGAGAAAACACCAAATACTTTCATGTTTGTGCCTTTGAAGGCTTCCGCAAAAATAAATTAGTGACATCGAGCATAATGACATAGCCTCTTCTTTCGTAACCAAAAAGCCTTGGTGTTCAAATCCTTCTATAAGGATCTTATTGGCATAGCTAGAACACCCATCTGGAACTTTGCCTTAACTGACATGTATTAGGATCAAATCCCTCAACTAACTCTAGATGTACCTTTGTCCGAACAAGAAATTTGGAATGCCTTCTTTCAAATCAACCCCCACGTAAGTCCATGCCCATGGGTTCGGCACTAGTTTTTATCATAAATCCATGCACTCTTTAAAACAAATCATCCTAGCACTGCTCGCTTTAACCGGGCGACATGATTCTCCTCCCTAAAACTGACATCACTAAAACTATGGATGCATTCAGACCCATCTCTCTGCAAAAACACCCCCTAAGGCCATCACAAAACTAATCATCGACAGTCAAAACCACGTACATCCCTTCTCCTCCATGGAAATCAAACCAGCTTCATCTACCGCATAAAATATTGATGAAAACATCATCTACCGCCGACCTTCTCAGTTGTTGCTGCTCGCGGAATGCTACATCTATGGTCCTAAAACTAGACTTTAAAAGAAATTTCCACTCCATCTCCTAGGACTCCTTACTTAACATTCTCTCGCACAGGAGTTTCTCAAGCACTTGGTGTTCCTGTATCCTAACACTACTCTCCTCCACCAAAACTGTTTTCCTACTTAATGGGCTCCCTGGACCATGGATCAATTGCAAAAATGGTTTGCGCCAAGGCGACTCTCCACTTCATATTTATCATTGTCACAGACCTTCTCCAATGCATAATCCTCAACGCTCACGATGTTAACCTACACTATCAGTCCCTCTGCCCGGATCTTCCACCCTCGGTTCTACGCGGACGACACTCTCACCATCTCGTGCATGCCTCTACAAACGTTGTTGCTCAACTCGAAACCATTCTCTACAATTTCTCTCTAGCCACTAGTCTTGCTATCAACTCCCACAAAACAACTTTATCCCCCTTCACTCAGACCTAGATATTGTGCTTGCAACCGCAAACATTTTTGGCTGCAAGGTCTCCTCCTTCCCCCAAACCTATCTAGGTCTACCCCCTCCCACCAAAAACTCCCTCCTTCTTCCTTCCAAACCATAGTTCAAAACTTCTACAAATATCTTATTGGTTGGGTCCCTAACTTGCTCTCTCATGGAGCTAGATTAACCCTACTTTCATGCCTTCTGGATTCTCTAGCGGTTTATTTTTATGTTTGCCTTTATGATCCCAAAAATTGTTAAAAAGTTGATGTAATTCATATGTCCTTTTATGGAAGGCGGAAGAAACTTGTACCGAGGCCCACTGTCTTATTGCTTTTTTTGTAAACTTAGGAAATGTGGTGGTCCAGGCATAAAAGACTTGCTTTTACGAAATAACTGTCTTCTGATGAAATATGCTTTCAAGCTTCTACAGATTCCCAACCTACCTTGGGTACAATGGTACCACCGACCCTATTCCATAGCCATTGTAAAACATAAAGACCTTTCTATTATCATTTGGAAAACAGTTAACCACCACTTGCACACCTTACAAAAGAAATATTTTGTTTTCACCAACAATGGCCTCTCCTCCTTCTTTTGGAATGATGTCTGACTACTTTCTGACCCCCCATCTAGAGCCTTCCCCCACCTTCACTCCCACTCCACCAACCCCACCATCATGGTCCTGCAAGTCATGCAGGAAGGCTTGATATCTAACCTCTAGAACCGCCTAACGGGTGTTGCTTCCATCGAGATAGCTATGGTGGCTTTGTTGCAAGATTTTGCGCTTAATGACAATGTTGACGATTGGTTCCTCAGTCCGCGTATGTCATTCTCCGCTCGGCATGCCTACCATCTGATCTTCGATGAGGACTACTTGGACACCAGCGCCATCCCATTTGGTCGTCCAAGGCACCCATCAAGGTGCAAACATTTGGGTGGTTGCTCTTTAGAGATCGTACGAATACTAGGGCAAATTTAATTCACATGACCATCCTCCCCGACACCATCTGCCCCAGATGTGAACCTACTCTCAAAGACGCCATGCGCATCTTCCTCATGTGCCCGTCAGCCTCCCAAGTTTGGGTTGCGCTCCACCTACCCGCAACCTCC